GTTTTGTTATCGAGAACTATGCAGAAACTGATCCTTTGTTATCTACTCTTGTGTCGCCGCTATATTTGACCTACTTTAGCACCCTATTTCGGGTGAAAGATCTTGGCGTATAATAGGAGAAGCAACTCCATTGCAGGAGGGGTGGCTTTAATTCGCATGACAGCTTGAAAGTGAATCGATGCTGAACTCCGTTACAAAAATTTACTCGATCAAAACAAAGTTTATGTAAAATAAAAGGTTGAACGTTCTTTTTATATTAAGACAAAAATATACTTTAGTCTTAAAATTTGTTTGAATAAAAATTTATTTTATATGTGTATATAAAATTAATTCAATTTTAAATTTCCTTTATAAGAAATAGCACGGAGAATTTTTAATGACAATTATATGGAAATTACGCGAGAGTTTTTTTATTAAATGTTTTTCAACATTCAACGGTTTTTTCGAGCGATCGTTGATTCCGCAAAATAACAACATTGGTTGCGTTAGATCACTTAGCTGCTGAATGGCGAAAGAAAGAGGTAGTTGCGTGAAACGTTAATACCCGCGAGAGGCAGGAGAGTCCGAAGGCCGAGCGAGAATCCGCGACGTGTGGGCGCTCTTCATGCCCACGTGTATCTACGACGGGTTGTGCCACGTGCAGTGTCGTAAACATCAAGGGACCAATATTCGCTACATTACAAAGCCACGTAATATAATTGTCACAGTTTTATCACAATTTTATATTAATCAAGTTGGTAATTACAATCATGTTCCTTATTAAAATTGACATTTTTATTTATCGGGAATTTCTTACGGATAAAAATTCATAATTATATTTTTTATATCGATTTTAAATTGATTACACACGTCGAATAAAGATTTAACATTTTCTGATTAATGGCAAAGGTCATTGTGGAATCTAGACATTGTGTTTCACATCAATGAATGTAAGAATTTTGGATTATAAAGTAAAAGCTGCATGTGAGACGCACAAATGCTCGGTTATTCTCTTTTCGCGTAATAAAACGATGACTTTTCGTTCCCGCAAAGTGCGACTTTGTAGACGGATCCGTTCACACGCGTGTATTTATGAACACGCGTGTCGATGTATCTGCATATGGCTTATGCAGCAGGCCACATACGTGCTCCATATGCGAACCGCAACGCATAGCTTTGCGTAGGCGATATTTTAGCCGGAATATGTCACGTGGCTTTAATAAATATCATCAAAATTGGAAAGTAAGGTATAATTTACGATACTTGAAGTAAAATTTATGTGCGTGTATAAAGTCAGATGAAATAAAATGTGAAATGTAAAACATTTGATGATTAAAAAATTAGGAAATGGGAGAATGGATTTCTTATATTGAGCTTTTATATTTTCTTGCATTTTAACATAAAATATGACTTAATTATCGCTTATATACGATTGATATCGCATCAATCATTTGCGAGTAGCTCCGCTATTATCAGCTACTCGGCTAATTCAGCTGTCCTAGTTATCATTTGTTGTCAAACTTTCCTGATACATTTCCAACTAATATTCCTGCGATAAGGCGGTATAGAAATTATTTAGATGAATTATATTTGCATAGGATAATTCTGCTATTTCAAAGTTTCGAATGGCCGAGGAAAAGTTGTGCAACTTCCGCCTGGATGTGGGTGCATTATTAATGTCAGTCTTTGAAAACAATTGCAATCGATGGTGGTTAACAATGAATGGTAACGGCGAAAGTCTTGATACAGGTTTCTTTTCTTTATACTTATTACGACTATAGGATCGCGTTCACGGCAATTCTATATCATAGATGTACATTCAAAAGTTCGCGATTGTTATTTTGTCGCGAATATGTACAATGAGCGATGTTTTTCAAGCTCGTATAAAATAGAAAAAACCAATTTTCTCTTTCAGAATTTAATTAAAATTATTTAATTAAGATTGTATTAATATATCGAGCATATTTTTTTAATATCGGAAAAATTAGAAGTTTCGTAGTTAAAATCCGTTTTATTTGCAAGATCGTGTATGAAAAGTAAAAGATACTTGGATATTATCGAGACATCATAAGCATTCCCGGTGTGCCTCGGGGCTATATCGGATGCAGCGGGAACAGGATGCACATCGACGCGATGCATATGCACTTATAGCGAGAGAGACGCGGGGTCTTTGGCCGCCTAATGGCGGATGCTTCGCTTTTATACCGTCTTTGAGGTGGCTTTCCCCTAATTCGCATCAATTGACAACGCGAGGACGACGCGACGAAGGGAAAAGGCGAGAGCCGTAATTAAAATTAGCATCGTTGCATCTCTTCGCGCTCTGAAACTTGAGATGCTCGTTACGCAATGCATCCGTTCGCGCAACGCGATATCGAACCTTGGCTCTATTTTCTTTTCGATCAGAATGTGGAACCTTGATGTCACTCTGATTCTACTTTTCTCCGACAGGTCGTTCTATATTTTAATCTCTTTTTCTTTTGTTAGTATAATTTAATTTCTATACTATATGTAAACTTATATTTACTTTTTTATCTTTGCATAATTTATACAACTTTATCAAAGATATATAACGTTAATAGATTATTTATAGTATACATTACGGAAAAGTAAGAAAAACTTGCGCTGTCGAACGTTTGATGAATCGCGAATATTACTTTAATACATTTACAGCGACTTTGGCATCGATTTTATCAAAAATTTAGCTACGCGCGAAATCGAATCCTGTAAAGCGAACTCGTCGCGTGCTCATCCTATTCGTATTACGTAAGAGTTTCCGTCACATTTCCGCACACGAATCGTTTCTATCTCGCTTCATTCAGCCTTGGCCTCATAATCCGAAATCTGCATCACTGCTATCTGCACGAAATTCGGAAATGGACCAAGAATATTAAGCTCTCAATTTTTTTTCCGCTATCGAAAATATCAAAGATATCCTTGATATTTACTAGAAATTGCGAAATTTGTAGTTTCTCAATTCAGATTAAGAAAAAAATTTAGAGAAGAATACATAAAACATTAATTACGCGTGCATTAATAGAGCTTGTTTTTCAATCGAATAAAATTCTTATATTTAATTATGTAAAAATATTAATTATATATATTTTAATTGACTCACATTTAACTTAATTACTTGAAAATTAATTTTTGTGATTCTATCTAAAGCAAAAATGTGTTTCAACTTTTGCACTTCTTCGAGTTAATTTTAGTTTCTTCCTGTTGTGATTCTAATAAATAGGGTCAATACGATTGCTCCAAGAAAATTCTAACCGAGAGTCTCTTAAGACAACGTTAGAAAAGAGGTTCAAGTTGAGAAAATATTTGTGAAGAGCGTATATTTTCTATCTGGGGAGAAAAAAAACAACGATAAAAATATCCACAATATCTCGAAAAATATTTTTATTAGGCTGATACGCACACGTGTACGTACTGTACGTATCATTCCTTCGCTCGATGACGAATAGACGTGGAAACCATTTTGATTTAATCCCGTTAGACTTTGTACATGCAAATCACACACAGATTCGTTATGTGCATCCGTTATGTGGCCCTCGCACGATTAGCATTGAAGTTAAGACACAATGAAGAATATGAGGAGTGGCATATATCTCTAAATAAGAGAACCTCTAAATAAGAAAAATATTTATCAAAATCTAACTTAAAAATATTGTTGTTTTCTAATGATAAGATATACGTGATATTTTTTTATGACATAAATCAGAGCAATATACAGTGTATTTTGCATATGGAAAATTAATGAGATTTATAGCCTGCATTTGGAATATAGCTTTAGTCGTCTGAAAATGTGCTCTGAAAATAGAAGCGAATCCGTGAATAAAATGGAGTGTCGTCCCCAGATCGGCGATTGCTCTCGACTCTCGACGCGTCTCGGAGGACTCGCATCCTCGATTATAGATCTTCGAATAGCGACTACACAACACGATGACGGCAGCTCATGAGCTCATTAATAGCGTGGCGTGTCGAATTTTGATCGAGAGCGCGGCGAGAAGCTGCGACGAGGACCTCGTCGCGTCGACCTTGGCGCAGGTTTGTCCCTGAAACTTTCGCAAAGCAGGATCGATGTTTCGCACGATGCTTCGCACGACAACTACATTGTATGCCACCACGTCACCGGATGTCGGATCGAAACGATCGCGTCTCCGCTTCATCAAAACCGATTTTTCTTAGCGAACATTGTGAGGGAAATATTTGTAGAAACTAGATTAGTTGTGTTTGTGTAATATAGATATCATATAGATATATGTATAAACACACGCAAGATGGGTTGTGTGCAAAATAAATATTTGTTAGTCACGTAAATTCTAAGGGATCAAGATTATTAAAATTAATTTTTGTTAATTCCATTATTATAATTCTATTATTCTATTATCCTAAATTTTTCTATTATTTTTTCTATTATTTTTCTCTTGTTATTATCGTCATCTTAATATTCAAACTTACGTGAGGAAGAAATATTTCTTTAAATTTATTGCGAGAGACAGATTTGTCTAATTAATTGCACAATAATTGACGAACGCAAACACGTCATTTGTCATTGCAGCCGCCGGAGAATGAGCTGCAGAAAGTGGGCGAGCGCGTGCCAAGCGAGCACGAGCTCAGGGTGCAGCGATCCTTGCAACGGCTCAATGTGCCCGATTGGTACAAGAATTCACCCGCTGCTCGCGATGGCTTCCGGTTGAAGAGGCATTCCGACGCTTCGCAGCACGGAGGATGGCGCGCCCTTGGCTCCAAGACCACCTCCCTCTCGTCCCTCTCGTCGTCTTCCAATCGACAGCCGACCACAGGTGAGGCCAAAGTCATCTTTGAACGAACATAATAATATATATAATTGGCCCTAAAAAAATTTAATTTTATAGATGTAAATTTTTTTGGTAGATTGAAAAATAATTTTGAACATTCTTTCATTCTTATGTTGCAGGTGCCCTTTTAAGTCCCAGTCCCACGCCTCCCGTATTCTCGAGATGGAGTACCAGCTTGCTGAATAGTGCCGGCAGTTCACCCGCGAATTCGGCCAGGTCGTCCTTCAATCATCGACAGCCCTACTTGGGCTGGCGTTCTCAGGAACGACTGACCAATCCGCGCACACCGGCGGAACGTCTTGCTCAGGGTATTCTTCCTCAGTTGCAAGCCGCAAACAAGGTAAGAAAAACACGAGAAGAGAAAGAAAATTTCTCGGTCGATTCTTTCTCATTGCGTACATTTGTCCCTTATTCGTCGCGAATGCACCGAATAAGATAAATGCGAAATGCCGCGTGAGAAGATTATTTACGTCACCGTTGACGTCACGACTTTCCTTACGTCAGCAAGCCTTGCATTTCCGTCTAGTTTGTGAATCGATATCTATTAATATACTATTCGTGAATGTTGCAAGTGAGGATTAGGTTCAAGTACCGACGATACGACACTGCATGTGTACATATATTTGTAACATCTTGTCCTTGTTTCTTTGCCTACATGATTTATATCGTGCTCTTTGTACGGTTCGCCGTCGCTTTCTAAAATTAGACATTCTGACAGGAATGCTTCTGTCGTCTCGCATCTCTTTTTCGCGGACAGACCCCGCAGACAGACATGCAGTCTATATTTTGTTCAGGATCCATTACGTTTTAAAGCTTTTTTTCTTTTATGATAATTTTAATAATTTAAAAAAAATCCAATAAATATCTCAAGATAAATATTAATGAGATTTATAGCCTGCATTTGGAATATAGCTTTAGTCGTCTGAAAATGTGCTCTGAAAATAGAAGCGAATCCGTGAATAAAATGGAGTGTCGTCCCCAGATCGGCGATTGCTCTCGACTCTCGACGCGTCTCGGAGGACTCGCATCCTCGATTATAGATCTTCGAATAGCGACTACACAACACGATGACGGCAGCTCATGAGCTCATTAATAGCGTGGCGTGTCGAATTTTGATCGAGAGCGCGGCGAGAAGCTGCGACGAGGACCTCGTCGCGTCGACCTTGGCGCAGGTTTGTCCCTGAAACTTTCGCAAAGCAGGATCGATGTTTCGCACGATGCTTCGCACGACAACTACATTGTATGCCACCACGTCACCGGATGTCGGATCGAAACGATCGCGTCTCCGCTTCATCAAAACCGATTTTTCTTAGCGAACATTGTGAGGGAAATATTTGTAGAAACTAGATTAGTTGTGTTTGTGTAATATAGATATCATATAGATATATGTATAAACACACGCAAGATGGGTTGTGTGCAAAATAAATATTTGTTAGTCACGTAAATTCTAAGGGATCAAGATTATTAAAATTAATTTTTGTTAATTCCATTATTATAATTCTATTATTCTATTATCCTAAATTTTTCTATTATTTTTTCTATTATTTTTCTCTTGTTATTATCGTCATCTTAATATTCAAACTTACGTGAGGAAGAAATATTTCTTTAAATTTATTGCGAGAGACAGATTTGTCTAATTAATTGCACAATAATTGACGAACGCAAACACGTCATTTGTCATTGCAGCCGCCGGAGAATGAGCTGCAGAAAGTGGGCGAGCGCGTGCCAAGCGAGCACGAGCTCAGGGTGCAGCGATCCTTGCAACGGCTCAATGTGCCCGATTGGTACAAGAATTCACCCGCTGCTCGCGATGGCTTCCGGTTGAAGAGGCATTCCGACGCTTCGCAGCACGGAGGATGGCGCGCCCTTGGCTCCAAGACCACCTCCCTCTCGTCCCTCTCGTCGTCTTCCAATCGACAGCCGACCACAGGTGAGGCCAAAGTCATCTTTGAACGAACATAATAATATATATAATTGGCCCTAAAAAAATTTAATTTTATAGATGTAAATTTTTTTGGTAGATTGAAAAATAATTTTGAACATTCTTTCATTCTTATGTTGCAGGTGCCCTTTTAAGTCCCAGTCCCACGCCTCCCGTATTCTCGAGATGGAGTACCAGCTTGCTGAATAGTGCCGGCAGTTCACCCGCGAATTCGGCCAGGTCGTCCTTCAATCATCGACAGCCCTACTTGGGCTGGCGTTCTCAGGAACGACTGACCAATCCGCGCACACCGGCGGAACGTCTTGCTCAGGGTATTCTTCCTCAGTTGCAAGCCGCAAACAAGGTAAGAAAAACACGAGAAGAGAAAGAAAATTTCTCGGTCGATTCTTTCTCATTGCGTACATTTGTCCCTTATTCGTCGCGAATGCACCGAATAAGATAAATGCGAAATGCCGCGTGAGAAGATTATTTACGTCACCGTTGACGTCACGACTTTCCTTACGTCAGCAAGCCTTGCATTTCCGTCTAGTTTGTGAATCGATATCTATTAATATACTATTCGTGAATGTTGCAAGTGAGGATTAGGTTCAAGTACCGACGATACGACACTGCATGTGTACATATATTTGTAACATCTTGTCCTTGTTTCTTTGCCTACATGATTTATATCGTGCTCTTTGTACGGTTCGCCGTCGCTTTCTAAAATTAGACATTCTGACAGGAATGCTTCTGTCGTCTCGCATCTCTTTTTCGCGGACAGACCCCGCAGACAGACATGCAGTCTATATTTTGTTCAGGATCCATTACGTTTTAAAGCTTTTTTTCTTTTATGATAATTTTAATAATTTAAAAAAAATCCAATAAATATCTCAAGATAAATAAATAAATATCTCAAGATTTGCACATCCGTTATTAATAACACACACACAGATTGCTTTATATAATTTACACATATGTAATTGCTTAACCCAACGTCAGGCAACGTTGTTGATATTAAAAGTAACACAAAGTATTTAATGACGACTCATGAACGAAAATTAATTTAAATTGCAAGAGATTAATCGTATCTGTAATAAATCTTTGATTGTTTGAAATGTATATCTTTGTTTCGCAGCAACAGCAGCAGCAGCAGACAACGAATCAGCAGTTGGAAGTACGAAACTCGATAAAGGAGGTGACCTCGGCCATCGTGCACTATGTGCAGAGCGGTCAGGAGGTCGGAGGTGGCGGTGGCGGCAGACTCTCGCCGCGACCTCGACCTGAAGATTGGGACGACAGGGGCGGAGCGAGGTCTACCAGCCCCAGAGGTGAGCACTAAATCGTCCCCACAGCTACCAAAAAATAAAAAAAAACAAAAAAATACGATCCTATCAACATCACAACCACCATCACCTTTGCTCTCCGTCACGAAGGTAATTTTGAGTTCTCCTATTTTCTTAATGTCTTCTTTTGTCTTCCTTTGCAAGCTGCCTCTCTTTTTCTCTCTGTCTCTGTCTCTCTCTTTGTCTCTATATGCATCAAGTGGCTCTTCGCATCGCTGAGGTCAAAACAGGTCGGTTTTTAACATTTCCCCCCAATTTTTCAGATAGAAGAATTTTAAGTGTTTTCAGCGGTTCTATTTCATCCGCACTCTCTAAAAGTGTGTATTCCGAAATATTCTTTTCTACTCCATGTATTAAATGCCCTTAGAATTCTTTATTCAATCCCCAGTTATTTAATCAAAATTGAATAACATAATTATTATTAATATGAACCGCATTTTGTATATAATATTCTGAATTAATGGAGAAATTATTAATGAAATTAATTTTGAAGTTAATTATGGAATTAATTATATAGTTTTTATTTAATTAAAAACTGAATCGATTCTATTTCTCGTTAAATATACCTAAAATATCAAAAAAAAAAAAAAAAAAAAAAAAAACAAACTCAATTCTGCAAATACCAAAAAACTCCTTTTTATTGGTATTGAATATTGCTTTCGAAGCATCTTCTATACATTTAAATCGTATAAAACCGCATCCAACTAAGCTTCCATCTGGACGTTTTAAAAGGTTTACTTCTGTAATTTCACCAAACGGTTTATAAAATTTTTTTATATCCTCTTCTGTTACCTAACAAAATATAATTATATCATATCTTTTAAATTAAATATAAAAGATTAAATTATATATTACCAGGAATGT